TTTGTTTTTTCTTTTTTTCGATGTGGTCGAGCCTGCACGATTCACGATTGGCCCCCCTCCGTCCGAATGCAATTTCTCGTCTGCCCGACTGCCTACATTTTCCGTTGTTCGAAGTTCCGAGAAAAGAAACAAACAAAAAAAGGACAATTCGATCTCGTGATTTTCCGAGTCATCCAAGTAGCATCCATCTGGAAAGCTTCGTGTTTCGGTCGCGTTTCAGTATCCGCGTGCATCGGGCCAGTCGACGAGTCCCTGGGGGTTCGATTAATTAGACGAATGTATTTGGCTTTTACCTTGATTGCGTAACGCTATTTGCTTTGAGATCGGTTTCGTATTATATCTTAGTTTTAGAAGTAAAGGTAGGTCGATCAACACGCGAGTTTTCATTTGAGAATAGTTTCTCATTTTCTTCTTCTCCTTCTTCTCTTCTACTTCTATTTCTTCTTCTTCTACTTCTATTTCTTCTTCTTCTTTTTCTATTCCTACTTCTATTTCTACTTCTTCTTCTTCTTCTTCTTCTTCGTCCCTCCCCTTTGTTTGATTTTGTGTTCGATTCATAAACCGACTGCCTCTAATGATTTCTTTTTTTGACTATGTCGATACATTACATGATACATATATATTATATATTTATATATATATACATATATATATACACATATATATATTACTCGTAGTGGCTGTATTGTTAGACATTATTATTGTACTTTCTGTGTATTTACGTTCAAACAAGGTGAAAAGAATTCGAATTTCTCGTACATACTTTTCCTTTTCGTTCTCCCTTCTTTCTTTTCTTTCCTCTTTTTCTTTCTTTCTTTCTTTCTTTCTTTCTTTCTCTTTCTTTTTTTTCTCCTTTTCTGTTACTTTTCTCATTTTTGTTCGTTCGTTTCTTCTAATCTCGACTCGTGTTGTTCTGTTCGAGTTCCCTCCGGACAAGTAAAACCCGTAAATTGATTCGAGTATCGATGAAATCGGTGACAAGATGTACCACAGATTGCTCCATTCTCAGATTCCAAACGTACACGTACTGTTGTTTCTTTATTCACGGTCCACGAGGCCGCAAGTAAATAGTTCGCTAAGCTATTCTCAAGTGTCTCGCTTTCAACTATGTCTCTATCGAGAATCCAGCGGTGATCGAACGTTCTATTCCCCTCTACGAGATGGCTGATACTATTTTCGTTCACGATCGTTCCACGTTGGAAAAAGAAAACAAATGGATTTTCGACAGGGACGTAAATGTTTTTTTACTATCAGATGCCTGTCTTGTACCAGCGCAGTTTACGCGGATGCATCGCGAACTTGTTTCACCGTGTACGCGTGTTATACGTATACTTTTCTTTTTTATTTTCTTATACATTTATATATACACATATATACATATATATATATAAATATATATAGATATAAATATTTATTTATTTATATGTGTATATATATATTTTATATATATATTGTATACATATATTATTTACTTTTCTCTTAATCGAGACTCCTTTCTCTCGGTTTGCCGATCACGCGTTCGCTTTCCACGTATGTTTCCGTGAATGAGATAAAACTTGAGCCTTGCGTGCCGGCGATAAACTCTAACGGTAACAAGAAGGCAGCGATACCGTTTTTTCGGTTATTTCTTTTCACCATTATTTAGTGACTAACATTGTTTGAGCTTTGAATAGTACCTTGATAAAAACGGTGTATGTCATGTGTAAGATATACTTGGGTGTGGGAGTACCACTTTTGGAGTTGGGGCATGATCGACGCTCGGTCACAATTTTCGAAAGAATCGACGATTTAATTGTCGCCGAGCGACACGCGACGGTTTTCGTTAGAGACGGAATGCTTTATGGACAATGGCGTCGGAGATGTCCCGACATCGACGACACGAGTCAGGCGATCACCAGGGAGAGACCGATTAAGAAACTAATGAGATCGAGTCATACAATGTGAATTTATCGAGCGAACAAAAGGGTTTCAGCGTGTCCTCTGGTTGGTTCCTGAAACGTGTCGTCCTTTGTCCTTTCTGGCAGTGGTACCACGTACCGTTGGCTTAGAAGAACCTACAGCCAACAAAGTGAACGGACCTGCATTTTCCGTTGCATGTGTTACAGCATACCCGGTGACACCTCATCCACCAACAGGTTTTGTCCCTGCGCCGGCACAGCCTGCTACCTACGGTGGTACACGTAAGAGAATCATCTCTGGTTCAATTTATATTGGTACCAACGATCCATTTACATGCAGATTCTACAATAGTTGCAGGTGCCGCGCCTTATGGAGTCTTTCCTAATCAGCCACAGCTCTATGCAGCACAGGGTCCACCGCCACCGACATATGATCAGACCCTTACACATCCTCCCATGGTGAGAATTTCTGTCTGCGCATGCATCTTTAACCCTTTGCGGACCAATGTTCTTAATACTATACAAAACCTTGAGTAAATAAAGCGAAATTATATGTCGAATGCTTAAATGATAGAGAAAAAGACACTATATACTGATCTTTTGCTGTATCGTTAATTAAATCATTTGTTTACAACAGAGTATGCGAAATATCAAAGTTTGATCTTGTCTAAATGTCGATATTCGTCTTCAAAGGGTTAATAACAATGGAATGAAAGAAAAATAGCTGCCTGGGTAGAAGTATTTCATATAACGTTGAAACTTCGGGGAATGTTTCCTTCGTATCGTGGTTTTGTTTGGAATTAAGATAATTGTATATTATTCAGGTGAGAATGAAAATGTGATTCGTTTGCGCAGATGTATCAGCCAATGTACGGCCAAGGGTACCCTGGATACTTAGGCTCATGTTATCCTGCATACGGGCCATTGCAATATTATTCACCATTAGCTGCAGCTGCAGCATATTATCCAGCAGCAGCAATGCAGCCTCCAGTTAGGCCCCCTACGCTTGTGATGCCTGTAAGAACTGATTTCCCATCTGTTGGTCTTAATCGTAGCGTTTAAGCTACATTTGATTATGATGATGATGATGATGATGATGATGATGATGATGATGATGATGATGATGATGATGATCGCTGATTTGTTGTGTTCTATTTTATAGAATGGGTTCGATGCTACTAATCGATTCGATAGTATCTCACAACCCGTCTTGCCACCACCTCCAACAGTTCCAAACGCCGCCCAACTAGCTGCAATGGCGAGCCATAGCGTGGCTATATCGCAAAAGAAAAATTTCCTAGGAGGAGGAACAGAGGGCGGTTACACCTTTTGGTAAACCATTATACCTTTTGTGAAAACACTAAAGTCTAACAAAGGCATATTGTTGTCGAAATGATCCATGTAGGCAAATCTGATTTTTGTGTTAGAGTTCTACTATTTTTTACATTGGGAGCAGCTAATAATTGAATTAGTATTAATTTTTGAGCGCGGACCGATTGCGAAGCGAACAACCTGCAAAGAGCTTAGCAAACGGATGATTCTGTTCTTTTGTTGAAATCATGATCTACTGACGTGAGAACAGATGAGAAATACACGTAATGAAACAAGGTTAAAAATGTGATTTTTGTTTCTTTTTAAGATCTTAGTGATCGGTCGGCGTCTCGAACATACTATGAAATTTAATAAGAGAATCATTAAGAAGGGAAGA